TGTCCAAACTAATAGTCATGGAAATAAAAATGCTAGAAAGTTAATTTTCGTGTTCGGTTACATGTGTGAGCCACTGTGTATATTTTTATTCAAATCGGATCACTGGATGTCAAGAGTTTATTTAATATTGAGATGTGTATTTGGGACGTGAAGGTTTATCGTTATCGTTATGAACAATACCCGATATAGAAGCTCTACTTCTGACGAGCACTGTATATCCAGTTTTTTATTATCCAAGTCTCAGGGCTGCACATTTAGAAGATCAAAATGACTTCAATTACAGACTCGCTTTAGCATAATAAAAAGAAGAAATCTATAAACCGAAAGTGTATATGTGGCTTGATATTGTTGTTTATAAAAAAATCCAAAATATGTCGAAAAATAAAAAGCATATTGATTTATCTAGTTTAGCAGATGCAAAGAAAATAGCTGACAATTCCCATTATAATGGACGAAGGGCAAATAATCATTCCTCGACGAAATAAATTTACAATTTTTTCTTTATAAAAAGATGGAAGAAATTAGAAAGCTGATTTAACACTTGGCATTATTATCGTTATACATAAACAAAATCCACAACTATTGAATCTAATTCGCAAAATACAGTCAAACCTGTGGTTATGGACGTTACCTATTTTATTATCGTCGTCGCCTCAGATATTCGGCAGCCGTAGATGTCGTAAGTTGTCAATTTTTTAACGTACATATTTCCTAGATTTACTAAGCACCACCAATGTTTTTTTTTAACCTCGCTAGTATGCTAGTCGATAGGACGTGAATAATCGATAATTTATAAATGTGACAAAAAAATTTTATTCAACTAATAATATACAAAAGGATTAAATTTGTTCAAGAAATTTTTCGAAATCTTGAAAATAGCTTATTCAACTAAAACTAATAATACAATTTACTCAAATTATAGTGACGTAGCCCTAATAAACCATTAAAATTAAATCAGGGAAATCTCTTGAGACAGTTCAAGAAAACCTGCAAATTCGGGATGTCTTGCCAACATTAATGGATACCATACACCATATTTACGGAAAAGACGAACAAACATTATATAGTTCCTACAAAAATAGACCAGACTTTTCCAGCTTGCAACACTTTCTTCCTCCTCCTCCTCTTGTTCTTCCAAAACACCATCAACATTACTAAGACTATTGAAGTATTTGATGTCATTACTACCACCACCCGAATAACCAAAATTATAATTAACAAACATATCAGGAACAGGCCAGGTTTTAACCTCGAATTCCCTTGCTCGAACAAAAAACTCGACATCATCAAAAGCGCCCTCGTTGAAACTATCATCAAATCGAATACGATTGATGACGGAAAACGGGGCAGCGAAATTGACAAGCGTTCCATATAGTAATGAGTTGTTATGGTGTGGGAGAAATCGACCATTCAAAGTTCCACTGATGTTGTGATAGAAATCGAACAATGTGTTTCCAATTGCGCGCGTTTGACCACATAATAAAAAATTTTCTAAGCCGTGTTGTTTTTTACGTGTATCGTAGGCTTCTAGTGCACATTCTATCCATTTTACATCTGGAAGGCAGTTGTCTTCAGTGAATAGTATCATTGAAGGTGAACAATAATTAGACACGATCCTAGTATCATTATTGTTAATTTAAACCGTTACATATGTAATAGTTAATTTAAATAATAAAAATGAAAAATAAACTTACTCGATTCCACGATTTCTAGCAAAAGCAAATCCCATACGGGCTTTCAGCTTCTCAATTTTCACATCAAGTTCATAATCATCGGGCAAAATTTCCGAATCTTTGTAATGGTAAGGAGAACAATCATCGACTACAACCACAATATTAGGTACACGAGTCTGCCACGCTAATTGCTCCAATAATCTTTTCATCCGAGTCTTTGATTTTTTTTCGTTAAGATGCATTGGAATTACAACCGCCACTTTATCCGATTTTCTGCCACCACTGGATTCATCATATCGCGGCGAAAGCACTTTATCAGAAGTATATGGCTGTATTTTATCTAAATCTTCAATTGGATAATTACTTCCACCTAGAAATCTTGGAAGACGTGCGCTGTTATACGCGAAAAATGCAGATAATTTTAAAAAGATTAACATCAATCGCTGCCAGAAAGTAACTATACAGATTATTGTTGAAGAAGAGGACGGACGAATTAATTGTTTTATATCGTTGTTTATTTCTTTTCTTAGAAATGTTACTGTCATTATTTCTTTTGGTAAGAGTTGATTTATTGATTTATTGATTTTGGGATAATAAGTTTGTATTTATAAATTTTATTTTGTTGATGTTGATAATACTGATAGTAGTGATGATATATTATATAAGTAGACTGTCTCGTGTGAAATTCCATTTTTATACAAGTTTATCGTTATTGAATAATTTGATATCGATGTGTGCGCATTTACACATGTAAATATTTAGATACCGACAACGTTATTACCACCTTCACCATCATCATCATTCCCACCCATCATCAACACCACAATAGACAGTCTAATAATAATCAAAGAGGAAAGCAAAGAAAATAAAGTAATGCACAACACTTTATAGGTAGGTGTTTCTGGGAGATATACACGTTTTCTGGTTGGCGAGATACCTTCGGTATGCGTCTCGAGGTAAAGATAGAATGCATATAGTGGGAATGTTATAGAGTAGGAAAGTGCGAAAAGGAGGAGTCTGAAAATTGTTATTAAATTAAATTAAATTAAATTAAATTATATTCCAAGTATAAACATTTCAAATGAATTAAATAAAATGGCCAACTTACCCAGTCGCATTTGTTGGAGAAAGGGTATTCAAAATATTTCCGCCGACATGAATTATAACTGCCATGACCATCAATAAGTATTCACGAGGATGATTGATAACTGGTGGAAAGAGATTAAGCTTGGGACTATCGTCATTATTTTGTTCGTCTTCAGTTACTGGTAATGCAGTTGATGCATCATCTTTTAGATTCTTTTTAGTGTAAACATAAATTCGACTAAAAAGAATCAATAACGCGAAATCTTGCGTAAGACCTGTAAATAATTTATAATATTTAATGTGTTATCATCCCCTATTTTCGTGTTTTTATCTTTTTTTTTTTCTTTACCTTGCCATTTAAACCACATTGCATCATACGGCCAATGGAACACAATATTCAAAGATTGTACCAATAAAAAGTACACACTCAACAGTCCAAAATACCACAAATAACTAGTAACCTTTCCACCTCTATGCAACAGCAACATAATTGCAACCTCAAAGAAATTATGTAAGGAACCAAACATGCTGAAAATTTTTCCCGCATCAAACAAAAAAAATGCTAATGAAGTAATAAATGTTGAAAAATTATAGAGTGCTAATAAACGGTTAAATAGCGTTGTTGGAATAGGGGCGTTGTCTTTGAAGTAAAAGTATGAATTGTGGGAAGAAGAATCCGTTAGACTTTTTGCAGTGAATTTTAAAGCAAAATATGATGAAATAAAGGTCACTAGCATGGTTAAAATGCCATGTGCTCGTTCTTGTTCGGGAAATTCATCTGTAAAATTTATTGATTGGTAAAAGATAAAGAAGATAAATTTTAATGTTATTGTTCAAGTTATTATGAAAATTACTTAATGAATACCGTGTTTTTCTCCATGCCATGCCGGGAAACCAGTCAATGGAACGATAGCTTGTTTTGGAGGATCAGGCATATCTTTTGGGAAAGTAAGCAAGACCAAAAGATTCAGGATAAGGACTCCAGCGACTGCGAGAACCTCTCTAAGTCCCATTTTTTCTAATAATAATTATAACACTAATAACAATTGAACGTTTGATAAAAAGATCAAGAACAAAGGACTTAAGAAGAGGAGTATAGGGATTAAATATCCAATTCATTTTTATGAAAGAAAAAATTCACATTTGTTGAATTTTGCGGCACGGCGTAAAAAACAAATGTGCATTTCAAGTTTAATATCAAGTAATTTTTAACTATTTACTTTAGAAATTTAGAAATTGTACATGCAGATCAATCGCTCTTTGAATTGCATACTACCGCATGAATTACGGGATGGGGCACTCTCTTTTTGAACAAATTTAGTATATATCGATATCGATCTTTTAATGTTAAATCATTCAAGTGTGACACAAAACTTCAAAAAATTTTCCCTGATCAAGGGAATTCTCCGATCTGTGATTTTATTTGATATCGGATGTAGATTATCACTTGCAAGTCAAAAACAGGTTTATAGAAAATGTGAATTCGTAACTTAATATAGCGATAGTGGTAAAAATATTACTCATTAATCTTGTATTGCTGATAATACATTATTCACCTTTGATCTCGTATTGTTGATAATACAAATATATATATAATTTATGTCAAAAGCTATGGTTGGATTGAATAGGAATAGAATAAAATTAGGTCATTTGCTATTTGATAAATAACTGGTCACTATTAAAATAAGGTCATTTAGTAGGTCACTTGAGGTTGAGGTCACTGTCCAACGCTGGTTGAGCGAAAATTGCATGATAAAAACGCCTAATTTAACGACGTGCTAAAAGTAATTTTCTGTATAACGATAACAAATAACGAAGTTTATTCTTCGGAACGGTGCACTTCGTTAAATCGGACTTTACGTGAATAAAAACAAAATCGATTATATTTCAGTTTTAACACTCAAAATAAATCAAAATTCAAATTGACAAAACAAATATTTTGTTTGACATCCAAATATTCATCAAAATTTAATTTGTCTAGTTGATGTACGTCAATTGAAAAACGGTCATTCGGCGAAACACAAATCATGAGGATGCGCAGTTTTAAAATTTCCTCTATAATGAAAATTTTATTTTTATTAGTAAATATTTTTTTTGTTTTTAAATATGTATTTTACTCTAACTCTGATCCGGAAAAATCGGATGAGAATCTGATGAAAAAACGGGGGACGCGATATCTCGTGATCCACAATTTCAATCCAGACAAAAAATACACCGAATTTTTTTGCTCAAAATTAAAATGAATTTATTTCTGGTAATTTGGAACACTCAATTTAAAGCATTATATCTCATGACCCACCAGGCCAAATCTCATGATTCACGAGCCCAATCCGGAACCGTAAGATATCATGTCCCAAAGTGACTTTCCACACGTGATTCGTTTTAGAGGCTTGGGTTAGGACTGCGGTCAAGGTTATACATTTTTTATTGGTGCTTCAAGCCAGGTTTTGACATCAGTTTTCACTAAACCTGTGGCTTTCCGGACTGATTATTTTTTTAATAGGGTCTTTGTGTCAGATTTGTTTTGCCGGCAGGAGAATATTTACGCGTTCTTATTTGTTTGTGGGTACGTGAGGGTATAGTAGACTAGTCGTAGCAGAAAAATTCCTCGATCATGTGAGCGTTATGTGGCGTAATCCAATAAGAACGCCCTTCCGAGTGGCGCAAACCAATAAGAATGAGCAAATTTTTTATCAACTCGGCAAAACAAATCCGACACAAAAAGTGAATAATGTAAAAATACGGAAAACAGATATCAAAATCTGGCTTAAATTATTAATAAAAAATGTTGGGAAGACAATAATTTCGTCCTCCGCTTTAACTCATAACCCGAACGATAAAATATCTTTTAATCTTCTGTGATCACGTGATCACGTGATCAAGAAATTTTCCTGCCACAACTAGTCTACTATGAGGACTATGAGGGAATGAGGGAGGGGGGTCTATGAGGTAGTCTACTATGAGGGGTGACTTTTCTTACTTTTCGATATTTGTTCATTGAATTCTGATCCCGGACCCACTCCCGGGCCGAACCGCCCACCGGAGGGGCCCTGGCAAGATGGGGTTCGCTCCCACTCAGATGGATCGAAAATCCCAGAAGCGTGGCTTCCCCAGATAAACCTCGGGCGCTGGATTTGCAGTAAACGAAAATTGGAAAATAAAGAAAGATAATCAAGAGATAATCATTCATAATAATGTTAATTTGTTTCACTAAGACTTGCAAGTAAAAATATGAATTTATCACTTGAATATCAAAACACCATTCTTGCAGAACTTCTTTTGGAAGATGGGTTACTAATACTTTCGCGTGGTCTGAGACTCTTTGGAATAATATGTGCTTTGCTAAAAATGCATGTCAAGAAGCAAAACCTTGTTTTGCTTTTGAATGCTTCGTCAAATGAGGAGCAAAGCTTAAAAGAAGGTTTAGCTGAGCTTGGCATGAGAAAACCTGGGCTTAAAATAGTAAATAGCGAAATGGGGGCAAAAGAGAGGTAATGAGAATGAATTACACTACGAGAAAGAAAAGTTTTATAATATCAATTCAAGCTTTTTTTTTATATTTGATGTTTGCGTATATATGATAACTTCGATTTTTTTTAGAAACGCGTTATATTTAAATGGCGGTATTCTTTCGATTACTTCTCGAGTTCTTATTGTTGATTTATTAAACAAAACAATGCCCACAGATAAAATCACGGGCATTTTGATGTGCCATGCTGAAAGGTGAATTGAATCTGTTCTATGATAATTATGAATGAATTTGGTAACATTCACATTTTTCTTTATACCGTATGTTAAAGAATAACTGATGCTTCCACTGAAGCATTTATTTTAAGAATTTATCGACAGGAAAATAAGGTAATATATAGATTACTACTGAGATTAATTACAAAAGATATTTTTTAAGCCAAAAGTCTCCTGCTTATTTAATAATTTCTTATGATCGTATGAATTACCAATAATCAAGCATTCATGTCAAAAAAACGCGTTATTAGGATGGGTTTATCAAAGCATTTTCGGATTCTCCGGAATCTTTTACTTCGGGTCTCGCACCTCTTCAAACTACTTTGCGTTTACTTCATCTGAGAAAAGTATTCTTGTGGCCTAGGTTTGTAAATAAATATCCATATACTCTATATTATTCGAGTTATGTTAATTATACTAAATTATAATATCATCAGATTTCATAATACTATTCAAAAGAATCTTGAAGAGCGAGGACCAGATGTTGTTGAATTACATCAACCATTATCTATTACCATGAATGGCATTCAAGCAGCAATCATTCAATGCATGGAAGCATGTTTATCTGATATTAAGCGTGGAAACCCTATGGTATTAATTATTGTTATATGATTTTTAATGAGCAGAATTTATTCTAATCTCCGGCTATCTTATTAGATTGACATTGAAGACTTAACGACTGAGGATGCTATGAACAAATCTTTTGATTTAAATATACGCCTACAACTTGAGCCATTTTGGCATCGGATTAGTCAAAGAACAAAACATTTAGTTGGAGATTTGACAGTCTTGAGAAAACTGCTTTCGTGAGTGTATCATATTTTACTTCACAACTTGTACATTATTAGTAATGATTTATTTATAAAAAAAAAGCTATCTAGTGAGCTACGATTGCGTAACATTTTATACTTTCCTCGAAACTATAATTGCTGAAAACATGCCAGCCTCAGATTTCAATAAATTTCAATCATCATCATCATCATCGTCGTCGTCATCTTGGCTTTTTTTGGACGCAGCAAATTCCATATTTGCTGTAAGCCCCGCTAAAATTTACATTATTAAATATTTCTAATTTTTGATTCACAAGATTTTTTGTTTTTAAATCTAGCTTGCTAAGCAACGCGTGTATGTTCGAGTGACGCCTAAAGATGACGAAGATGACCCACAGGAAGAATCGGATACTAATTCGGAATTCCCTCCTAATATTCATCCAGTTTTGGAAGAATTACCAAAGTGGAATTTACTAGGAGATATAATGAATGAAATCGAACACGAGATTGAATTATGCGATGAACAAAACCGTAATGTCGATTCTTAAAATTTGATAATTAAACGATGTTTTGTTTTATTAACTATTTTCTTTAAATAGAACATACAGACAACCTAATCCTAATAATGACAGAAGACATTAGAACTTGTACGAAATTGCGAGAGTATCTTTCAACAAATCAAAATGACTTAAAAGAAGGAGAAACTAGAGGAAGACCTTTACTCAATAAATTGTTAAAAAGTTATTTTAGAAATAAGGAAGGTATCACAAAGGCAAGCCGAAACCTACATCAATATACTTCTAAATCAAAAAATACTGATAACACGGGAAATAAAATGAATAAAGAAAGTGAATTTATTAGTAACAAGAGGACAGGTATTATATAAAAGATTTTTTTTTTATTATATTTTTGTTAGATGCCAATTTAATCAATCATGGAAATAATAGATGAAGCGAAATCGAAGACATCCTATAAGCGGGCACAACAACCTCCCAATAAGCGTAGACGTGTTCGTGGAGGATCTATTGCAGCTGCCATAGCTTCAAGAGATCCTACAATGACTACGAATATCACACCTCACTCAGTCGATAAAGAGATCAAAGAAATTGCTGATTTGTATATAATATCCTATTTATTCTATTTATCTATTAGTTGATATAATCATTGATTTTTATTATCTCATGTTTAGCATAGAATCCAGCTCATCGAAAAATGTATCGTCGAGTTATCAAGATGAATTGGATACTTCAACATTTTCAAACCACTTTGGATTAATCCCAACTTCTTCATTAGTTGTAATTCGACCACTTAATGGTGAAGATGATGATCGACTTCTGGAATCTTTAAAACCTAAATTCATTATAATTTATCATCCTGATCCGGCTTTTGTGAGAAGAGTAGAGGTAAAAAAATCGTTAACAGCATTTTTAAGAAATATAAAAAAATTCATTGTTTATTCCATATACAAAAGGTATATAAAGCTTCAAATCCTAATCTCTCAATTCGAGTTTACTTTATGATGTACGAAGATTCTGTCGAAGAACAACGTTATTTAACTTCAATAAGGAAAGAAAAAGAGGCTTTCGAAAGGCTTATCCGTGAAAAAGCGGTAAATTCAATTGAATCGTGAAATTACGTTTCCTAGTAAAATATGATTCAAGTTTTATTTTTCTAAAAATTTTTAACTAGACGATGGCTTTACCCATAGGACAAATGGATATTAAACTTGGGGATTTCACATTACATGCACAAAATACACGCGTTGCAGGTGGTGGTTTGACAGCTGCCAGTTTACAGCAATCAAAGGCAAAGAATTATATTTTGTTAATTACGAATTGCATTGATTTTCTTTTTTTTTCTTAATATTTTTTTATATTCTTCCAATTCAGATTATCGTTGATGTTCGCGAATTTCGGAGTGCACTTCCATCCATGATACATTCGCATGGGATAGAGATTAATCCATGTAGATTGGAAGTGGGTGATTACATTTTGACTCCAAAGATTTGTGTTGAACGTAAAAGTATCTCAGATTTGATTGGCTCCTTCTCATCAGGCAGATTGTTAGTTACTTTACAAATTGTTCTATGTCCTAAAATACTAGGCGATAATTGAGCTGACCTTTATAATCTTAGATATTCTCAATGTGAAGCAATGTCTATATATTACAAGCAACCTATACTGTTAATAGAATTTGAACATAATAAAGCTTTTTCATTAACGGTAAGCTCACATCTTATCTGATTAAATTTATTCAACATGGTACTGATACAAATCCTGAATATTAGGCGGCCGATGATGTTAAATCTTATATCGGCATGAATGAGCTATCATCAAAATTGGTATTGCTCACTTTAACTTTTTCAAGGCTAAAGATCATTTGGTCATCTAGTCCTTATGAGACAGTACAAATTTTCCAAGATTTGAAAGTAAGTTCTTAGAGTCTACTATACCTTGTACTTTATATTCTAACCTTTTCCTTGAAATATTGAAGAAATCACAAGATGAACCTGATCCCGAAAAAGCCATGGCAATAGGCTTTGAAGGAGAAGATATTGATTCAGATTTCAATATTACACCACAAGTATGCAAAAAGTCAAAAGTATATCAGTTTTGATTCTCTATACTGCAATGTCATTGGAACTTTATTTGTCTTTTTAAAAGGATTTTCTTCGTGCGCTGCCTGGCATTACCTCAAAAAACTACAAACACGTCATGTCACGTGTAGAGAATCTCAAAGATCTCGGTGAGATGTCCTTAACAGATATGCAAGCTTTGATAGGGGCTCAATATGGAAGGTTATTGTATGATTTTTTTAACAGGGATGCGCGAGTTTGATTTTATGGCATATGTTAATAAAAGAGCGCTAATGTCTTGTTATTAAAATCAAATACAAATAACTATTTGAATGTATTAAATATTCAAAATGTATTCTAATAATAATATCATAATAAAATAGTTCAAGTTTAAAAACGCCATAATTAAATGCTCGAAATAATAATAATAATAATACAATTCTCTCATTATCTGATTTAGTTAATTAACGACTCTTTCCTGCAACTTTTGATTGAGCACCACGAGCTTGTTGTTTCGAAATTTTAGGCTGTCCACGAGAGGCGGCAGAAGCAGTCTAAATAGCCAAAGAATATTACTAAAGATTAATCATTAACAGGTCGAATGTACAAAAACACGAACCTTTGCCTTCTCCGCCTTTTTCTTTGACTGATCCGCCTTTTTCTTTTCTTTAGCGTCACGTAGCGCAGCTTGACGAGCTGCCTCTCGGACTTCTGGTTTTTGATTACGCCTTGCACGAATGGATTCCCATGATGCACCAACAATAGCGCGTTGATGTTTGACTGCACGTCTTGTTCTTTTTTTGGCTACTTCCTCAGTGATACCTTTTTTGTGCATACGACGATACACTTGTGTCCAACTGATTTTTCGCGGATTTTTACGTTGTAGGAAAAGTGATTCGGTTTTTGATCCAACAAAGCGAAATACCTTTATAATTGGGTTAATAAAATCGATGTAAATTTATATATTTTTCAATAAAAAATTCGGCCATTCAGACAATAACCATATGAATCCAGTACAGCTACCAACCTACCCTATTATCTGTCCGGACATAAAGTTTTCCTTTGCCCGGATAGATCTTGAAGCCGGAGAAAGAATCAATTTCTATTCTAAAGAATAATTTAACAGTTTAAAGACGAAAAATTTTCACTTATCATCAATATTTGTGATGCATCTTTACGTAATAAATATAAACAACTCTTTCACGAAGAAGGGAAGTGCCTAAGAAACCAAGCAAAGATCAAATACAATATACATACTTCATTTCGGCTTTACTTATTTATTTTTGATACAAAAAGGAGGAGCAGTCCGAATTGACATTGAGCAAGCTTATTTTTTTTCGCAAGTCAGGTGATCATGTAACTTGCTTCAGATTGCAGATTTTAACCATCCCAAAATTAGATAATTTAAATTAACCCAAATAATTAATCTCAAGTGAATTATTCGATTACATATATTTATAACATTTACATATTTATAACATGAAAGAATGATTCATACAAGAATAAGGTATTCACCGTATTTTTTTAAATACAAATCCGATATAGATTCCTTTTTATAAAAACAAAAATTATTGTTATTATCGATGGTTAATGAAAGAAAACATAAATGATTTAATTACCAACAGCTTCCCATTCCTCTTCAGACATTTCCCCTTCACTGGGTTTAATAACTTTCATTGTATACAAAAGGTCCCTAAAAGCAGGCACTTCCTTAGCTTCGTCATATAAATCATGAAATCTTTTTTTATACACTAATTCCAGCCCGTATTCACTTGCAAGTCTAATAAAAAAAGATATTTGAGAAAGCGCGCGCTAATATTATAAAACCAAAAAAAGAAACTTGAAACTTACTGTTCAAAAAATGAAAATCGTACTAAATATTCCGGACAATCGGAAATTGCTTCTTCCATATTGAAAGAATATTTATGTCCGAATTCTGGAAACTCTTCCTTTTGTTCGAAACGAATAGAATATATTGAATTACCAAACTCCAATTGATCTGGTTTCAAATTTTTCAATTTCTTACTTTTAATGGATTAATATATCATTGTAGTCAGTATATAATTCAGTGCTAATATATTGAGGGAATCTCGAAAACTGAAACATACACTATCCAATTTGCATCCGGCAAAGTTCCAATAAAGAAGCCATCCTGCTTTAAATTTGATGTAACATTTCTCAACGCCATTCGCGCCTTTTTTTCAGATTCAAATGAGTATTGTAGACAGAATTGCATGCTGATTATATCAAATTCTTCATCACGCGCAATTTTTGTCGAAAGTGGATACTAATCAAACTGGGTCACTTAGAAATGCACGAAATAATAATTAAAACACAAAAACTTATGATTATCAAATACCGAAAAACAATCCATCGCGTGAAATTCTGCTTTCAATTTTCGACCTAAAGAAATAAGAAAAAAAAAATACTTAATAAATAAAATTTAAATCCAAAATTTTTGAGATTTGTAAATCTAATTCGAAAAAATACCTTTCATATCTTCCCAGCGCTTGCGAGCATGTCGAATCGATACTTCAGCCAGATCTACAATAAGACAATTAGTTTGTAACTTCTAAAGCAATAATCATGACAATAAATAATAATATAGTTTTGGTACCTATTCCGACCAATCGATCTATATTTGCTTTATTCCATTTGTGCAAATCACCTCCTTTTCCACAACCCATATCCAAAACTGTCATTCCACGATGAGCATACCTCCCAATCAAAACACTCTTCACCCAATTGTTAAAAAATCTTAAAAATAGGATATGAGACTCGTTTCTACGTTCTATGCCAACATCAGGTTTATTATTATAGTGATCAGCGACTAATGAAGTATTATCATGTGGTGTTGAGGTAATTGAAGTTTTTCGTGCTTTACGAGGTTGTGAAGAATGAGAAGGTTGATTTAATGAGCCACGTGCTGCTTCCTTGTAGACACGTGAAGTTGATTCATGCGAGCGGTAAGACGACGAAGAGTAGTGGGAATTAGTGTGATGCCCTTTATGTTTTGTAGAGGAGGTATTATTCGAATGACGAGAAGAATGTTCTGATTTCTCTTCCTCATACTTTCGCTTAGGAGCATTTGAATTGGACATGCTTTTGATTTGAAAGTTTGCTCGTTATAATAAATTAAATCTATTTAGGCAATATTTATATGAATAAATTTGGCCAATGGAAAATGCTTACAAGTTACATGATGTACATAAGTATTCTGTTCAATAAATAGATGATGAATATGAAATAGGGGAAAATTACAAATGGAGAAATATTAATAAATATTAATAATACATTACAAAAAATCCCGATTTACTGATCGAATCACTCAAAAACCATCCTTTTTAACGATGACCTAAAAAAAATTAAAATTCTAAATCAAAAGTAGTTTGATAAACGCCACCATTCTGCACATTGCGAGCAGTTGCTTTGATTTCCATTGTAGCGAATGTTAATGAAAATTCGACTAATCTATTTTTTCCGAGACGTGGATCAGGTAGATCAACTATTATTGGAAATATTCGCATTAGGTTTTTTTTTGGAAATATTTGATAATAATTTTAAATTAATTAAATATGAGGAAAAACTTACTCTTCATTTTCCCCAGTAATCTCATTCCGTCTTCATCACAATATCTGGCGCTAATGGCTGATGTGACGTAAATATTAAACGTCATATCCATTTGAGTTGCTATGACTGGTCCAGCAGTATATTTAAAGGTTTGATCTACACCAACTTCAACCCCACGCTGTGCTAATTGATGGAATCTAAATATACGACCAGAGGGAGTTTTACGTTCTACTGGATCGCCTCTCTCCCATTTCGAACTGACTTCTACACCATAGGTCCATTTGAGCACTCTTGTTTCCACAGTTCCCATATTTAGACCTGATAAAAATTCAATATTATTACTATACTTTTTTAAAGTCCAATTGGATAATTTTCAAAAACATGATTTATTACCATATGAAAGAGCACCACGTACAATTGCTGCGATCGGATGACTTGGAACTGCGATAGTTGTTACGAAACGGCTAAAGGCTTGTTTTACTCGTAATTGTAAATATTGAGATTCAGCGAATCCACCCACTAAGAACATACAACGCACCCGTCCTTCAGCACTAGTTATTTGTTTCTGAATTAACTGCAAGATCTGATCAACTACAGGATCAAACATCGCTTTGACAGAGGCATAATCTAATTCAATTAGCCATTCAGCCTCTTCCATTTGTTCTTCCGCAACACCAGTGACGTATTTCATAAGTGCAGGACAAACACGCTCGATATCAAAATCTTTGGAGATGAATTCCTCGGGATTACCATTAAATGGGAATTTCGCTTTAATACAGAATTGTTGAATCATGTATTGTAATTGACCATAGTTGTTGTTTTGTAATTTATTCATAGCTCCCATTCCTACTTTACGCCCAACATACCGCACAAATTCTCTATCTACAAAACTGCTGCCACACAAACCACCAGCTCGTTCAGTAACCTCTCCGAGTTTATTTCCCGGCAATAATGTACGTGTTGTTAAATCCACAGTACCACCACCACAATCAACAATCATAAATGAGGCTAAAGATTCAAAAAAAAAAAGTTAGATTTATTACTTACAATATACAAACTACATAATTTACATAATTATAATACGGACATCCTACGTTCAACTGATGTTCTTTCAAGATGCTTATACAATGAATAGCTGCGGCTTCAGCTATAACCATTAAAATTAAAAGATTATTAGTTGAGAAGGAAATTGTAAAATTTATTAGGAAATAAACAACATACGTTCTGTGGTAAACTCTAAATTTTCCGAACGTAAAGAATCCGTCAATCCAGCATCAAATGCACATAAACGCATAAATGCCTTGGCTTCATCTACAATATATATATATATATATATATATATAAATGCGCAGTTTAGAGTATTGATAATTATTCAATTATTTTATTTTTAATAAGTTACCATGCCATTCTGCTGGAACTGTTAATATTACGCGAACTTGCTGAGGGAATCGGATTCCAGGCCATCGAGATGAAAGAGTTTCTATTATTAACTACAACATTAATAAAGTTAATTTTTCTCATATCATTTTAGGAACCAAAGAGAATGTAATTCAATCATACTTTTCCCATCTCACGAAGATAATCTGTAATGGCTTTTTTATGATCTATCCCTGCTGGGAGTGTAGGTTTCTCTTCGGGCTTTAAGTTAGATGCTAAACATAATTTGAATAATTCGACTGGCTTATTTTCTGAGCCATCTGGCAATCGTTTCTTCTTTCTACCAGAAGGTTCTAAATAAATGAATGGATTCAATATTCAATTATCTTCTATACGCTTAACTTAATAAATTGTGGCGGCTGAAGCTGAAGTTAGCGACCCCTATTAGTTTATTAATTCTATTCTCTAATCTCATTGGTCCATTTCAGCTTCAGCCAGATTTCACGATCATCCCCCACAATAATTTTATGTTAGAAATAAAATATGTCACCTTGAGCAAGAGCAGGATAACCCCTTGTTAAAATTGGAAAATATCATTTATTAAAGATAATTGCTTTACAAACTATAAATTCAATCAATGAAATTAATAAAATTCTACCATTTGACAACTTGAAATTTATCATTATATTGAAGTGCTGTGTTTGTCTTGAACGAGCCGGACTGTTCTGGCCAACTATCATTAGTGACAATATCATCGGGATTTTCTATGGATATAATTTTAGAATAAAACTTTGCAGTTCAAATAAAACCATTCTTGATATTCACAAGTTCTCTTACGTATATTTGCATAAGCAAAAGTCGAAAAGGTGGTGCCGAAATCTGGTTACGAAAATTCATTTAGAAAAGTTATATCAAAATTTCAAAACAAGATTAGATTAAAAATATTATTAAATACAAACCAACAGCTACAACTATACGAATATCTCGATTCATTTTGTATATTTTTGCGATTCTTCAATATATTTATTCACTTTTGTTAGCGTTTATAATAAAGTTATATAGCGATAGCGAAATAAATACTCTAATGTAGTTGAAAAACGTGTCTACTATAAAATCGAAATAGTACATCATTTACACAAATTTCCAAAAATAGCAGCACAATGAAATATATTATTTAACCATCGTTACACTATCGAGTTATAAAGCGTTATTTGGTATGGATAAGGGTTACGCTATTGGCTCAGGATATATAAAATCTGTAATTTCCGACCATACCATACTTCTTTCGTAGGACTCGATTTCGATACTTTATAATTTTACTATACTTGGAACCTTGTAATACAAGATGGCTTAAAATAAAGACAGAAGCCAACAAATAAATTATTTTGACAATAAATATATGTTGAAATGGCGAGTTCAAGTCCAAATGAAGCTAAAAATGCTTCTAGTAATGGTGGACAATCGCAGCAAGGAATCTCGCCTAACTCTGCGTCTTTAACCATTTCGACTCAAAACCTTCCTCTTTCTCAAGATAATGGACAACCACAACAGCAACATCCACTTTCACCATTACCTCAAGGTCAGCAATCGCAACCAGTTACTGGAGATAGTGTATTGCATACTACTTCTGGTTTAAAGGGAAGAGGAATTTTTGGTCGTTTCAACAAAAGTAATAAATAATATTATCACACTTTCTGATTCCTTGAATTCTTTAGCAATAATCTATTTAACAATGTCCTCATCAAAAATTATTAGGCAATAACAGTAAAACTACTGGTTCTCCACAAGAATTTATGGAGGAAGACTCGGAAGATAGTGAGGAATATAACATCTCGATAAGTAATGAAGGGCTTAGCGTGGACCAGTATAACGTTAAGCTTGTTCATGAACTCATTCGATTTCAGGATTTGATAAAAGCAGATCGCCAGAGAATATCATCCTTAAAAAAAAAGAATAAGGAATTATTAAAAGAACAAGAGGAAATGGCTGGTCGCTTTGAACAAGAACGACGTTCAATGCAAAGACTACGGGATCAAAAAGATCTTGAAATGCGTGATCTGGAAAGAGAGGTGAGACGATTGAAAGAAGAGTCCTCACAATATCAATCAGCTCTCGGGTCAGCTACGAATGTTCGCTGGGGTGATGACGATGCAAATAATTCTGTTCAACTTAAAAGATCTATCGAAGATCTACAACAAAGGCTCGCTAATTTTACCACATTAAAAGGAAAAAAATATGGAATAAAGATTAATGAAACGGAAGGAGCAAATCTTTTAGCGTATTACAAATGTCGTACTGCCATAAATAGTAAAAACGCCAAAAAGACTTTAAGTGCCGCGTTACAACGTCGTACCTTGGAGATATTATTCAATGAAATTGATCAGTATCTAAAACCAAGATCAAGATCAAGATCGTCAAAGGATCAAACGAGCGTAAACAATAGTAGTGCCACTACGACTACGCCTACAGTTAATAATAATTCTACGAACACGACAAATACTAATAATACTACTACCATTACTGATATCTCCACCAGCACTGCTGCTGCTACTGCTACTGCTGCTGCTGCTACTACTACTACTAATCATCCTTTAGATGATCTTGAAAAAGATATTATATATTATAATGCTCATATATGCCAGTTAATTGAAAAATTCCGTAATAATCGTCAAGGAACTGATGACCTTACTCGAATTACGCCAATAAAAATTCGGCAGCAGATTTATGCAATTTTGGGAATACGCGTTTTCATCAAAAATAACGAAGCAATCTCTTCGACAAGTGATAATAATAACACAAATAGCAACAACAACAACAACAGCAACAACAACAGCAACAACAACAACAATAATAACAATGAACCAATCGAATCACCTCCAATCGCCGATGAACTTTCACGAACTCATCCTTTCATTAATTCATTAGTTAAGAAATGTATGAACATGATGGTGACGCATCGAGAAATCAAATATGATGCAAAAATGCACCAACAGTATCGTGAGGAAACGATGGCGATGGTCATAGAGGTGGTCCATCTCTATTTACGTTTAAATGCACAAGAACCAGTTCCAAATTTTCGACATTTTTTCTCTAGTGGAGAAGAAATTCGTGCGTCTCTAATGAGTGGGCCAGAGATTGCTGACGATAGCTCCGGTGAATTAGAGGTAGAAATCTGCTCATTTCCATTAATCTCTACTCAAGGGAACAAAGTGTTGTGTAAGGCTCAAGTAGAGACAAGACCTGTACATCCTAATACTTCATTTAAATGGAAAAAATAGTTTTTCTAATTATTAATCATGGCTATACTTTCATTGATTGAAAATTAAATTTCTGTTATTATTCCATGTATAATTTTTTAATCATACCCTTAAAAAAAAGTGTGACTCGTTCTTCATAAAGAGGTGTGATTGTAAAAAGGGTATGACTATATTGGATGTGATTATATAGAGGAATGACATTATGTTTATCAGTATACACATAAACCTTTTGTTAGAGATGGTTATTATGCGGAACATATGCATTATTGCATTGAGTTTAATTTAATTTAATATTTTGACAAAGTTATAAATATTATTAATTCCCGGATAATGAAATACAGAATAAACTAAGAAATAAAATATTACATATCTAACATATCTAATCAACCGTGATGATGATTATACGGGTGATGTGGATGATTATAAATAGTATTGTATTCAATACTGTAGCACTGGTCATTGTCTATCGAAATAATTGGTTGTAGAAATTGTTGTGGTAGTAGTGGTAATTGTGGTTGTAGTGGTGGCAATTGTGGTGGTAATCGATCAGATTTGGTATGATTTTTCTCCCGTGCTTGGTATCTTTGGCGTAATAACTCTCTTACTCTCATTAATACTATTCCCAACTTATTTTGTCCATTTCCATCTCCGCCATCACCCCAAAATCTATCCGTATCAGTATGTTCAACTAGCTTTAGATTCCCTGTCTTCAACAATTGTTTGGCAAGCGCATCATGTTGGAAAAATTTCTGCTTCACCACCCAAAACATCGCATCCACATTTTTCTCTTGCCATTTCGGATCCACGTATTCTTGATGTCTACGTGCCATATTCAACGCTTCTCGTGGACTTCTACAATATAGCCGAATTCGTTCCGCGACAATAGGATTTGTGTCTTTAAATTTCATTGCCTGAAATAAATGTTCACTGGTCGGCCATAATTTTTCTCGATGACGTTGTATTGTAACATTGTTGTTGTTATTGTTATTTGATGAATTTGGAAATCCACCACAATCCCCTCCTTCGCAAATTGAGTCTGGTAATGCCGCTACTATTTCGTATCCCTCGATAAAATTTGTTAGGAAAAAATATGGGTCATCGCGATTGTAAAACCAAATTGTTCCGGCTGGCGCTGATTTTTCTATTATTCTTAGACAAGTTAATAACTCAAATACTAAAAAATCTAAAATGCTCACTTAACAATCTAAATAAAATTTATCACCTTCCCAAATAAATCGCACATGAACGTTGTCACTATGCTTACACGTAGAGCAACCTGACCTATCTATACATGGTTTAAATAATTCACAATTACAAGATGAATCAGAACATCCGGTCTTGCTTTTCACTTGACAAAAGAAATAAGAAAAATTAGACGATATTTCTGAAAATAAAAACGAATTAATACTTTTTATTACGCAAAAATTATATTACAACGTATTCCATGTTCTTTTTTATCGTGATTACATTCGATGCATTTCCAAGAAGTATCATCTTTAATTGCGAAATGGGCACAATCACAACCGACTGCTTTGCAGCGAAGAGGTGTTATATTTGTGTCGGAATTTTGTTCTTGGTTTATTTGATCTATACTAATAGAATTGGTATTGCCAGGCGATGCCATTTGGAATCGAGTTGTCACTGTTTAACTCGAGATGATTATTATCGTTATTACTTTAGATGGTACTAACTGCTAATAAAAAACGTTAGTGTCGATCTTTATTCATTTTAATATAACACAAATAAATACTGTACTACCTAATGTGTGATTTCTATATTAAGCAACATAATAAAGATATCTTAAAGATATCTTGTAACCAATAACGGTTGGGTTGATTGGTTAATATTTAATATTCTGTCAAATCAATGCAATTTTCGTATTCCTTTTTCTTTCACTATTCGCAGTAATCGCACTCTTTTATAAAGTTGCGCTATTTATAACGCAAATTTGAAGTTATAAGGTTATTTTCATAGTTACACCGAATAAATAAACTATTTGGGTGGGTAGTCTGTCTAAAAGAGTATAGGAGCAAATATGTATCCTTTGACAGCTACTCGAAACTCCATTTACAGTCCGCAAAATCACCACCACAACACCTCCATTAAAAACATATGCCTATACTGCACAAGTAAAGAGGTCGACACCGACTTGGACGGGTACCCAAGCGAATACTGTAGCGATGGGTGTCGTCGAGAAGCTTCAGTCGCTGGCCTTGCAAACCCACCATGTACACAATGTGGAGTCTTTCCACAAATTACAAAATCAGTTTACTGTGGCTGGTCGAGGTGTCGTAACCTACCAATGTGCAAGCATTGCAAGGTAGAGTATGCAATGGTCAGATAACTGGCACAGCAATAGAGTTTGTTAAAAAAAAAATAACTATTCAAAAATCGTGGCATGTGTTTATTTTAAGTTTTTTATTGGGACGAATAATAACTTAGAATGGCAGATTTTTTATTCTTTCATTAATCGACTTTATTGATTTAATAATAATAGGATAAACCTGTGTTTCAACGTTCGCTATGGTGCTCGATAAAATGTCGTAATTTGACACCAAATTGGCAATCGTTAGTTGTTGAGCGAAGCAGTCAATTATGCTTGGTGTGTAAACGAGAGAATGCATTACAAAGCAGAGATATTTGTAGTGATGCATGTCAGGATTATATAACTCGTACAGGTAAACAATTACCATACAGTATAAATTAAATTTATTAATTAAATCAGTAAATTTAATCGATTTTTTTTTTTGATCTTTTGATCAATGAAGCTCCGTGTCTTTTAAATTTACCGACGAATGGGCAAAAATTCAAAGACATATCCAATCAGTTTGTAAAAACATGGAAACATGCACATAAACCAGTTCCAGATGTGACTTCCGTCTGGAAAATTTATTGTGGTGAGGCGATGAATAATCGTTACAACGCATATCGTGATGCTGTTGAGCGTAAACAACAATTAGCTGGTAAACCGTTCCCAAGAGGTGATGGAATGCGAAGACGAGAAATGACAGCTGGTAACGAACAACGGAGATTTCATGGAACAAAAATGTAAGATTGAATTAAAAAATAAAAAAACCGTCTTATCACACTTATCACATTACTAATTATTTAATTAATACACAGGAATTGCTTCATTGGCTTATTAACATCCGCATCACTATGCTATGATAATACTTGTGCAATATGTTGCATTATTAGAGAAGGCTACAAATTAAAATTCGTCGGAACAGGCGAAATAAGTCTCGCATTCCAACGTTTTGGTCGAGGTCTTTATTTCTCGGGCACATCATCAAAATCGGATGACTACAATGAAAAATCCTTGAAAAGTTATAACGGACTAAAGTATAAAGCAATGCTTTTAAATAAAGTAGTAGTGGGCAAAGGATTCCCACAAACTGTGGACGATACGAATCTTGTGAAACCACCAAATGACTACGACTCGATTCTTGGCGAACCGAGTCCAACCGGAAATCTAAATTATGATGAGGTGGTCGTGTATAATGAGGCTGCATGTTTACCACAATATTTAATTATATATAGGGTGTAATTTTTTGGTTAGCAATTGATTCTTTTTGGGATTTTGATTCATTTATTTAGTGTATTTTGTATATTATTAATTTATTTCATTAATTTATTTTATTTATTCTATTTATTCATTCTTTTTATTTATTTGTTTATTTGTATAAGTGTTACTTATTTAGTTATTCGTGCATGCAATCCATTGAAAAAAGACCATTATAACGATAATAAAATTTATAATAAAACAGATTAAGTTAGACTGACAAATCTTGGCTTGTATATTTAAGGAAAATTGAGATTTACGCGATTTTTTTAAGGCAAATCCCTGAAAATCTGATTGATAAAAGTGTCCTCCTCTATGGAGCGTTGGCCATTGAGATGCAAGCTTAACAATTGGATTTGCCTTGAAAATTCGCTAATTAAGAAACTCGTGTAGATCTCTCAATTGGGATTACCGTATTTTACCGTGTATAGGCAACCTGTGACATGCCCTTTTTTAGTAATTTTTCAATTTATCACATGTATTTTATTATATTAAGTATCACATCTTTTGTCGCAAGTTGCTTATACACGGTATATTAGCCTCAAAAAGAGTATATAGAAATTATGGGCATTAAATTGACATTGGGACGGCTAGAATTTATTTGAGTGATGCGTAACTTTTGTATATATATTACTAAAATTATATTGTATTATATTTTACAATATTGATTAAATTTTATTCTATATTATAAATAATGCTCTATTATATTACATAATAATAGTTATTCTAACCGATGCATCCCTTTACCCTCAAACATCTCTCGTCTTCCTTTAAACGGATTGATTCCACCTCTTCTATCAATTCCCTTTGTGTTTATTTATCCCGTTATTTACCACCAATTCATTTACGTTTTTCATCTTATAACTGACAGCAGCGAACGGAACCACCGCTTCGCTTCTATACACAACAAATTCTTCATAATTTAATCGGGACCCAACGATTCCGTGTACTGAGTGACATGGATATGGTGGTTCTAAAATTTGTATTTGTTAATTTTTTCAATTTCATAAAAGGATTCGAAAGATTACGGAAAAAAATGAAAATTATTATTGGCACCTATAAGATATGGTTGATCATTCTGTGTAGAGTGACATCTAGAAAGAACCAAGTAAATTCCGCATTAGTAAATTAACAAAATAAAGATAAAAATATTTCGATCTTTTTATTTATTATTTACCTTCCCAATGCCACAAAACAAAAAAGAATCGTATAAGTATTATCATTTCCACGTGGTGTCGCATAACTATGCGCTTTTGAAGAATTGGAAGCGAAATAAACGCCTGTTCCAAATCTAAAAAATAAAGCAATAACACGAGTTAAAAAGATGATAAATTTACACAATATAATGATGTTTCATTACCTTTTAAAGGCGTTAGCCGTTCCACTTTTGCTTATATCAAACCCACCAGTCAAAATATTACAAGAAGCACAACTCTCTTTTGATGACGGATTACATGGCCCTCGTGCCTCCTCAATCTTACATCTTACACTTGTGCCATGCCATAATGGTTTTATATTGGGATTATTATTATTACAGAAGAGGGCCAGTTCTGCGATGTATTCGTCCCATCGTTGACACAATCTTTTATCACATTTCATAAATGTAACGTATTGCACATCAGGACACTTGAGGTAATAAATTAAATTAGTTAATCCAAAATAATGTCTATTTTAATCATACTATGGTGTATCCTCACTCACCCCCATGTGCAGAGGATGACCCCATGTGTTATGAAAATGATCAATAATTTTTTCCGTTATTTTACGTGTTCCAGCGAACAAGGCCGCATGACGAAGTAATTTTTCTGAATTAAATATTGTTTTCAATGGTTCAAAATCCGGTCGATATTCAGGAGATATTACTGTTATTTGAAGAGAAACAAGTAAAAAGACGTATACATTTAACTGAAAACTTATTCGAGTTATCACAATTCGAATTTATTAAACCAAACATATGCACAAGGTGAGCCACTCGTAGAAACAAACCTTTTTCACAGTCTGTACAAGAGCAGTTTTGTCGTGTCAAGACTAAAGCCTTGGGTGTTGCATTTTCTTCCTCCTTGGGAAATGCCTTCCACATGTCTCCCATAATTACTCGATCCTCTCCCTGCTCATCTTCTGAAGACTCTAAATCGTCAAATAAATGAACGAGACTTATTGGTTTTTTCTTTTGAGATAATGGCATTATATGAATTTAAATAATTAATGGTAGAATTTTGGCAAATAGAAAATCTTCGCACTTGAAAATTTGTACTCCGAGACTAAAAATAGCACTTATTATGTGAAACAGATTTATTTTTCTTAATTGTTATCTTTCTCAAATTGTTTTATTGACGTTTTTTTGAATAAAATACCATCATTAAAAAGTATAGCTTCTAATTGATATAAAGGTTGTCATATACTGAAAAGAACTTAATGGCAGCCCGACTTTGTGGAGCATGTCGTTCTTTCCCAGCTTACGTGGACACATTATCTGGAGAAGTAGCTGAGTTTTGTTCAAATAAGTGTAGAAGGACAGCTGTTGAACAAGGTATTTTTACTTTTTTTTTTTAGTTTCAATTAAATAATAGTTCCAGCAATGAAAATAACGAAAAAAAAACTTTTTTTCTCGCCATGATTCAGAACTTGAAAAACAAATTAATTTTTTCATTTTATAAATTAGGCATGATCGAACCTTGTATAAATTGTTCGGTAATGCCACGAGCATTACAAAATGGCAAGCGAACAAATTATTGTGGGAAAACGTGTAAAAATGAAGATGTGATAAATTTAAATCCACGTGGAAGATCTCGTATGTAAATTGTTCTTTCGTAGATATTTATTTCGTCAACTGCTATAAATGTTATGATGATTATTAGGTTCTATTTGCCAACAATGTCAGTCTAAACCTTGTTACCAAAATTCCCCGTATTGCTCTAAAACTTGTAAAGATAATGGTGAGATTTTTAATAAGATTAATATAAGAAGATTAAAAAAACATGATATTAAAATTTATCGTATCGTTTAAATAGCACGTCAAATAAAAGTGTTACCGCCAATACCACCACCACATACATGTTCACTTACCCAACCCCCAACGGCACCACCATTGATATCAAACCAGATTTTATCGAATCAGATGATACCGAATCAGATGATGCCAAACCAGAATAATAATATAGTGGGACCTCATCTGCCAACAGTTCAGATTTTACTTCCACCGCCCACCGGCCAATATCAAATACCACCACTACCACCGCCACAAGCATTAGAACTAAATTATCAGCAATCACCCCAATCACCAACGCACAAACAATTACCATCACCACCAACACAAACTCATCCTCAATCACCGCAATCACCATCCAAACAATTGTCATCATCACCACTACACATTCATTCACAATTACCACAACAATTACCACAACAATTACCACCACCATCATCCGAAGTTGTAGTAGCACAAGCACCTCCTGAGGATCCACCTCCATACACGCGGTAATCTATTAGATGATTGATTAATTGATTGAGTTTATTTTTTATTAATTTATGAATAAAAAATTTTTGCTTTCGTTTAATAACAGAGAACCTGGTCACACATATGGCGAAACTGGTGACCGTAAGGTAACGCGTGATGAAGCTTTCGACGATGAAAATCCTTATGGATTTAGAGTAAATTTATCCGAAAAACCGCATAGTACTCGGGATGATCGCTGGGTTGAGCAAGATGAACGGAGTTACTTATCTGATAATGATAGTTAATCTATTAGTTCTTCTGCTTTACTCTTTCTTCATTTATTACACCTTACGCTTAAAAACAATCTTTCAACTACCAGAATTTATTTTGGATATTTATCTCATTCCCTATCCTTGCATTATTTATTATTAACATTATTTTTTTATTGTCATTATTATTTCTTATTTCGTCGATATTAATATTTACTATTATTTCATAAGTGAGAGTTTATGATATAATCATTACATGTTAGTCAATCGTATTGATGAGTCAATCTCCAAAGTAGGGTAAATTAAATAAATTATTATTTATTTGAAGAAATTACCGAAATTGTAATATATCGATATTGATATGTCAAATCCTCTGATAATCAAAAAGTTCTCGTGATTTTTAATTTTTTTACATGATCTTACCGTTACATTTTTGTTGTTCACTATCAGAATGTCATCAAAACGAGACAAAAAATCAAATCGTAATAATACTTTGTTTGATGAATCGCCTAAAAAGAGTCGAGTCGCTACCAAGAAAAATTACAACGGCAACAAAAAGGCTTTCGAGAAAAAACGTCAAGAGGTAGTTGACGACTTTGATCCATTTGACATTTCGTTGGACGAATATGACCCGCCAATTCGTGTTTCTGCAGAAGACTTTTTCATTCCAAAGGATAAATATCCAGAATCGGTGTTAAATTCATCGGAGGAAGCGTTGTCTAGTAACGCTAAAGCAAAAGAAAAGCCGATAAGTAAGACTCGGAAACGAGGCACGAAATCTTTATCAAAACCAGATAATAAAAAAGTTAAAGTTTCTCAATCTTCAGCCGTGGCTAACAATGATGGAAAAAATATGGAATCAGAAACTTCGGGAAGTGAGACAAATTGCAATGAGAAACCTGTTGAAGTTGCCAAAACTTCAAAAAGTACAAAGAATCATGATATATCTGCAATATCTAAAGTTTCTTCAAGAGATGCGAAAATTATTAAATCTGAGGCATCAAAAACTTTGGAAGCCACGAGAGATACCACTAAATCTGAAGCATCTAAGTCTGCTTCATCCGCTAAAAAGCGTGGTAAACTAGCGACATCTAAACCTACGAAAATTGTGGCAAATAATAATAAATCTGAGGTGTCTAAAATTTCAGGAGATCTGATAAGTGCTAATAATACTGAAGCTGCTAAATCTTTGTCGGCAAATAATAAACATAACTTTGAAAATATTTCCAATTCACCTGTAAAGTCTTTTAAATCTAAGGGAGAAACAAAAGCAATTGAAATACCAAAGACTGATGATGAAGATGTTTCAAGAGACGAATCACTAACTCAAAATATGAATATTGATGATGATGAACTTGAAAATTCTGAAGAATATGATGATAGTCTATTAACAAATATCATGGAAGTGGAGAAGTATGTGTTACCTAGTGGCCAAGAAATCGAAAAAGAGCAAATGATCGCGCCAGATTTACAAATTGTTCAACAAAGAATTGCTGATGTCGTGAGAATTCTGAATAATTTTAAAGAGTTAGGAGATCAAAATAGGTATTTGATTAATGAGAATAAAGTTAATTCAGTCAGCCTATCTTATTTATTATACACTTTGTATTTGATTGATTGATTGATTGATTGGTTAATTAATTATATGAGCTTTTTGGATAAAAATAGAGGACGAACAGAGTATGTAGATCGGCTCATTAACGACATTGCAACTTATTATGGATACTCGGAATTCTTGGCCGAAAAGTTGTTTCATCTATTTCCAGTGTCTGAGGTAATTATTATAATAATGCTTTCAATTAATTACTATCTCTTTCCATTTCGTATTAATATTAAAAAATTAAAGGCATTGGACTTTTTCGAAGCAAATGAAATTCCGCGACCTGTCACCATTCGGACAAATACTTTGCGTACGCGAAGAAGAGATTTGGCACAGGTTAGTTATATTACTTGTAGTTTTTCTGTGTTATGCAATAAAACTTTAGGTTTTTATATATTCTTAGAAATTAATCGGTCGAGGAGTCAATTTGGAACCAATTGGAAAATGGTCCAAAGTTGGATTGACCGTTTTCTCATCCGATAAACCTCTTGGTGAATTTACTTTTTCTACGAATAATTCGAAAAAAATGGCATTAAATATAATCTGCATTCAATTATTAACAAATACAATCATGAACTATTTTTATAAATAGGAGCAACACCTGAATACCTAACAGGCGACTACATGTTACAGTCCGCCGCCTCATTCCTACCAGTGATGTCCTTAGCACCACAAGAAGACGAAAAAATCCTAGACATGGCAGCTGCACCAGGTGGAAAAACGACATACATTGCTGCACTAATGAAAAACACAGGCCAGATATTTTCCAATGACGCCAATAAGGAACGGACGAAAGCGCTCGTCGCAAATATACATCGAATGGGTGTTAAGAACACGGTTGTGTCGAATTACGATGGACGTGAATTTCCTAAAGTGATAGGTGCATTTGATCGGGTGTTATTAGATGCGCCATGTAGTGGAACTGGGATTATATCTAAAGATACCTCGGTTAAGATTAATAAGGTAAATGAATTTTTATTCTCTTTGGTTTCCATATACATCTATTATTCTTTTGTAATATTTTTTTGATTACTTGCTCCTCTCTAGACAGATAAAGACTTTATGCAACTTTCCCATTTGCAAAAGCAATTGATATTATCTGCCATTGATTCCGTTGATGCTAAATCACCAACTGGTGGTTATATTGTATATTCTACATGTTCAGTAACCATCGAGGAAAATGAAGCAGTCGTCAATTATGCGCTAAAGAAACGGTCTAATGTTAAATTAGTCCCCACAGGAATCGATTTCGGAGTTGAGGGATTCACAAGGTATGTATTGTTTACTTTGATGATCATTATTAATATTCGTTTTTGTACTTGAGTGTTTCCTCAAAAAATTCTTTCGATTAGATTTCGAGGCAAAATCTTTCATCCTTCGATCAACCTAACAAAAAGATTTTACCCCCACGTGCATAATATGGACGGATTTTTTGTCGCAAAGTTCAAAAAATTTTCAAATATCATTCCGAATTCAGAGATAGAGGATGACAAGGAAAAGGAGAAAGACAAACACAATAATAATCATAATGCGAATAATAAGAGGAAACAAATGTCTAACAAGAAAGAGCAGGAACAAGAGCAAGAACAAGAACGATATGAAAACCCAACTAAAGAGGCGAAGCAAGAAGATAAACCCAACAAAGCAAAGAAGCGAAGGAACAATAACAACTCAGATACCCGAAAAAAACAAAAGACTAAACATAATGATAATTACACTAAATGATAAAAAATATAAGGACACTTGCTGATCACTGAAAATAATGAAAAATCAATTTTCTATGTAATAATTAAACTTGTTTACCATGTTAATATTAAAAGTTTATGACATTTCGGACTAACGATGAGTCCCTAAACTATCTTGAAGATCCTAAACTACAATATTTTTTATATTGATACCTATATAAAAACCATTTAGAAATGTCTTTTATAGTTTAGGTCACTCAAATAATTTCAGTTTGAGTTTGAACATTATCAAAAAAAAAATATAAATAGTTTCAGACCAAAATGTCCTAAACTTTAGGCACATTAATAAAATAGTTTTGGGATTCATCTTTATTTCGAACATTAAGATTATTTTATAATCTCTGAATGATAAACCAAATTTTCTAAAAACAAGAAATTGGTTATAATGATAATGCTTAGTTTCAACATACTTGGTAATAAAAAATGGTTGTCAGGTCCTTATACGGATCACGAATTAATATGGTTTTAATTTATATAATTTATACTTAGTATGCAAGTAGAAAATATAGGTTATTGCTTTTATTTTAACATTTAATCAAAATATGTTATCTATTAATCTTATATTATTCTTTTAAATAATTATTTTTGCTTTTAATTTTTGCTTTCTAATTGTTCTTTTCAATTCATGTTTAAGACTTCCTTGTATTGAAATTTGGATTTTAACAGATCAAGAAATTATATTAATATCATTTTTATTTTTCCATTTTATTTTTTTGAATATATTTAATGAACTTATTTTGTTTTTTATAAACAATAGTACCAAAAACTTTTATATTCTTACTTATAAATGTTTTATATTATATTATTTATCAAAATTTTTTGTATTATATTAATCAAATATTATTTTATCTTAATTCTGGGATCCATATAATTCTATTTTATAAAACAAATTTTTCTATAAAAAATTAATTGAATAATGTTTTCATATTTAAAATCACTTAATTAAATAAGCTTAAACATTTTTGATAAATATTAGTTTAGTGATTATAATTATAATTACTCATATTATACACTATTATACACGATAAGATAAAGTTATTATAAGATAAAGTGGGTCTAAGCTAAATTTTTTTGTCCTCAAAATATAATAAACTACAATCAAACCTCGTTATTATAACATCTCGTTATTATGGCATAATAATAAAACCTCGTTATAATGACAATAAGAACAAAAATTATTTAAGGAACCAGATGTCATTAAAGATAGTGTATCTAGTACTTTTTAGGGGAATACTTTGAAATGGGGGTACATACGCGTATTAATGTCACAAATCAATATGACACGCGTGACGTTGCTTGATTTCATCTTTCTTTGCCTCCATAGAATTTCTACAAAAGAGAAAAAAATGTCGACCAATATCGAAAGGTTAAATTGTCTTCCATCACAGACATACTGTCCGCGCTCAATCTTTTGGACAAATCTAGCTTTGTTGGGTTTCAACCCTGAAATACACGCCACCGGAACATACTCTACGATAATATTCGATAAAGACGTGTTCACGCGTAGTACCAACAATGTCAAAGCTATGGAACTCATTGTGTGGTTTCTGTTTGATAGGCTGGATCCCGTTAGTGCAAGAGATGTCGGTAACAAATAACTTATTAATATTTTGGTATGTTACATTGGCTGAAAAGGCGTGTCTATAATAGAGTTTTGCTGGTTGCTGGCCTGTAACTAATCCTGCAGAAAGCAGGCAATTTCGTCAAGTTGCCTTTAAGAGATTAGAGCAGTTTCGTAAACAGGGGTGTCTTGGGAACAATGATTTGGTGTTGAGACTTAGTTTTTTTAATGAATGTCAGGGTGATAGGTAACAAACATATTTCATTGTTTCTTTGAGAAACTCTATTGAATATGCCAAGCTTCTTATAACTTATAGGTATATATATGTTTATTTATTTAAGATTTGATCGCATCATTATGGCATTTTCCTCTTACGTCATTCAAAAGACCCTTGTGAATAATTATCCTCAACATACCCAAGGTACTAATGCCCATCTTTTTTTATAATTGCATTGCATTTGATTTTGCTTATAGTGAATTCTAAATTTTTCTTTGCACTTGTTTTTTCAAGTTCCAAACATCGATTTTGAGTGTCTAAAAAAAATCGCTCCAGAGATGCTCAAAAATATTCTAAAGGTATGATTTAATTATAAAAATTCAAACGTTTAAAATTCTATTTATGTTCTTTATTCTGTAATTTTAACAGATACACATCAAAATTCAAACCGAAAAATTTGTTAAACATGTTCAAGACCGAAAAGAATGTCAGGATCGATGGAAGAATATGGCTGACGAGTTAACTCGAAGGATACGAACTGTCACTGCAAATAATGTATTGATGTATTTTTTTTTTTCAGTTAACAATTTGCATATTAACTTGTATCAGAATGTTAAGAACTATTCCTAAATCAAAGAACGAGCTAGAAAAGGAAAATTATGAATTTTACCAAAACCGAAGCTTGTTTGAAAGATTCGATAATATGTCAGTTGAACAACTTTGCTCATTAAGACTTCAGATAACTGAGAATGTTCGTGAGTTTTGGGCTACTTGTGTAAATTGGATGGAAGAAAGTCGGAAATATACTGGTATCTATCTATAATCATGAAGATAATTAATTGCATTTTATAAGAATTTTATTATTCATTTATGTATAATAGAAAGCGTTGATGATATAATGAACGGCCAGTCTAATATGTATCGACTAAATGGTCATGAACCCCGTCTAGAGATTCCAAATATCATGATGAGATTATGGGAGAAGCAATTTCATAAAGTAAATAAAAGTTGCATTTCTCTTATCATTCTTATAATTTAGTAATAATTAATCATCCAATTCAGGATAAAATTAATCCATATCACAATGGAAAATTGGACTTAGAATCTTTAGTTAAGCTATGGAAACTGGCAATACAAACTTTGAATCTTCATGTCCTACGATCTCATCGTGACACCACAACAATATCGGAATCCGAGCAATTGATCAACGCGTTCAGACAATGTATATTAGAGCAGAAGACTCAATCACAAAGTCTATCTACTCTTCAAGAATCTTTGAGAACACGGTTGAATGAAATTAACGAATCGATTTGGTCGTTGAATAAAGAACAAAGGTGCTTCTTATAGACATATAACATTTGGTTCTTTGGCTAATTTCAATGTTAGGAACAAATTTAATGATATTATAATATTATGATCAGTAATAGTAGTGCACTGCTACCTAAAGGGGATATGAATAATGTTATTTCTATTAGGTTAGAATGTTTATTTTCAATTTTATGCGTAGATACTCGATGGTTAATATCATATTTCTTTAGTAAACATAGAAATCTATCTATACCAATTGCCCCTTTTCATTTCACTAATAATGACGGCGGTGAATCCTCCTCGATTGATACTGATGTGGACATGGAATTCATTGAACTTTACTTAAAAAAAGGTAGACTTAAATAATCTCTATCATAAAATCACTTCACGAAATCAATTAATATCCACTACAGAATTCATATTTTAGAAACAAGAACCAATAACAACGTCGACACGAACATCATAAACAACATCACCAAACCAAAAATTCATACGTATGTCAATACAACTCCCACAACAGCAACAGTAACTAATAAGAATCAATTTTCAACAAAAGTATACGACGTTGATGATGAGACAGAAGATGAGATGGTATCTTTAACAGTCTCAAAAAATACGAAGATGAATGAGATCGGAAATTGGAAAAACAATGCAAATATAGGTAACGAAAGATTTATTTTGTCTATTATTTAAAAACGATTGAAAGTATAAAGAATCGATCGTTCTTTTAGATAATTCAATTTTAAGTCCAACAACACCTGATAAATATGTACAATCAATTGGCACTATCGAGAAAACACCAAGCTTTGCATCATTCTCAACGCCGTCATTATTCAAATCTCGGGATGAAACTAACTTTATCACGCCAATCCAAACTAATAATAAAAGAGTCAATAATTCGGCCGCTTATGACGCTGTAATAGAACAAATTTTTGAATTCGTTACGAACTCATCAAATGACTTTAGTCAATCATCATCAAACAGCGAACTGGAACTGAAACAAAAAAATAACAAACCTTTAGAAACGCATGCTATTAGTAATCCAATCAGCGCACTTGAAGAAAACGCGTTCAACCCTTCCAAAGAAATCAATAGAACTCCGGTAGGTGGTGATGATAATCCGTCTACACCTGCAATAAAAACAAGGTCAGCGATGAAATCAGGATCATCAAAATCTACACAGCAGTTTTCTGCTAAATTTGCAGATGTTGACGATGATGAGACGCCCTCTAAGAACCAACGTAATCATAATAATATAAACACAAACATTAACCTCGAAGGAGATTTTATGGAAATTGATTAAATATATTTCATACATAACGATAAAAACGCGTATACACAATAAATAATTTAATACTCTATCTATTGAATTTTTTGTGATCGACATAATTCAATGCATATTTTTTTTCCATGATCTGAAGTTACAGCAATATACGTCACCAAAATTTTCGAATAAAATAAGCGCAGAGAAATTAAATTTGATCAATGAACTTTTCGCTTCGCGAGTGGAATTTCTACCTATTTATCACTGTTCTCATTAATCCACTCACTAGCTTAAAGGTAATACTTGAATGCCTTTTTCTTACAAAAGAAGACCTCATTTCTTAAAAGTGTAAATTCTGGAAATATAAAAGATATTTACCTTTGAAACTAGAAAACAGAAAACAAAGAAAACTTTTATCGCGATCTTTAATATTGAAATTTTAATTGGCAAAAACTCGCTGTAAATTTGAAAAATCGCTTTCATTATTTTGGGATATTGGAAACTTAGTTTTTAGAATTTTGTTTCAATGTTACACAAAATCTTAACATAATATTTAAGATTATATTTGATTTGCAAGATTATTCAAATCTATTTTTTGATATTCTTTTTATAAAAAGATAATTGACGAAAAATGAGTGCAAGCGGGTATTTGGTAGCGGGGTTGCTGGAGAAGGTGAGATGTTAATATCATAGTTTATATCGTACAAAATATTTCAAAATAATATTCTATAAAAGTTTAATGAAACGATTATTTATTTAGATGGATTCTTTAGATACAGATTTTCGGTATATGGCCACCAATGATTTAATGAATGAACTTCAGAAAGATGTTTTCACTTTGGAGGAACCAACTGAAAAGAAAGTTGTCAATAAAATATTGGAATTAATGAATGATCCCAATGGAGAAGTGCAGAATCTGGCGGTAAAATGGTAAATTTTGCTATTCCATATTTTTAGCATATCAATTTTTTCGTGCAAATCTAACTAATATATGGACCCTCATTTATGAAAGCCTTGGTCCATTGGTGAAAAAAGTTCGTGAACCACAACTTCAGGATATTATCGATAAACTTTGTGATTATACTTCAGAGGGAAAGGATGAATTACGAGATATTGCAGGGATTGGTAAGAAACAGAATGTTTATTTCACTGATGTTAAATTTTTTAAACTTTAATTTTTATTTTTAGGATTGAAAACTGTAATCGTTGAAATTCCCAGTAATTCCCCTGTTGCTAATAATGTTTTGCAAAGATTGATTCCTAGGCTGTTAAGTTCGCTTGAAACTGTAAGCATTATTCAATTATTTTTTTTTGTATTATTTTTCAGCCATGATTATTATTTTGACTTTATGTTATTGAATAGAAATCTGCAACCTATGAAGTACAAATGGATACTTTGGATAGCTTGAGTGAAATCTTGGCACGATTCGGAACATTAGTCGCAAATAATCCAGATACTCAAAAGAGAATTCAAGATGTATTAGTGCCGCTCCTTAGCCATCCTCGACCTGCATTTAGAAAGAGGACTACTGTTGCTCTAGGTATTGTTCAATAAACGTGAAATTATTTATTTATTTGTAATAAACATTAATATAAATCAAAATTTATAGGCAATCTTGTCGCACATACACAAGATGAACTCTTTAATGATTTAGTCAAGAAGCTATTAACAGAATTTAACAAATCAAGTAATCAGCATGATAAACTAAAAACGCTAATTCAATGTGTTGGTACTTTAAGGTACGAAAATTTATTTATTAAAAAGACAGATTTTGAAATAGATATAATGAATACACCTTTTAATATTCTCATTTCATCAAATAGCCGTTCAAGTGCCCCGAGATTGGGAAAGTATTTGCCGCAATTTTTGCCACTTGTAATTAACAATGTTCATGTGAATGATGACGAATTAAGAGAGAACTGTTTACAAGTAAGTCTCTTTGTAATGAAAATTCATTTTAATAATACAACAGCATGCTAAATTAATTAATCGATAATTATAGGCACTTGAATCATTTATATTGAGATGTCCAACAGAAATCACTACTGATATTAAGGATATCATTCAGCTTTGCCTGCAATACCTAAAATACGATCCAAATTATGAAGATGATATGGATGAAGAAGAAAATGACGCTATGAATCAAGATGAAGAGATGCAAGATGAAGAAGAGGAGGAGGAAGATGAGGAAGATGAGGAAGAAGGGTACATACATCGATTAAATATTTGATTAATCACACACATTTTCAGCATAGTCTTTTTAATATTTTAATCGGTGAATCTAGGGATTATTCTGACGATGATGATATTTCCTGGAAAGTAAGACGCTCTTCCTCAAAATTACTCGCCGCCATTATTGGAACGCGTCATGAACTGCTTTCACAATTGTATCAAGATGTGGCACCTGCGTTAGTGAATCGCTTCAAAGAACGAGAAGAATCAGTCCGCGTGGATATTTTCCAAACATTTATAGTTTTATTGAGGCAAACTTTAGTATATGGTGGCGAAAACTATACTTCAAGAAATACCAATGACGCGAAAAAAATAAAAGTTAATGCCGAACTAGAATCTGGTACCAGGTATATGCAATGAAATTATGCATTTTTGATATTTAGGTTTTTTTCTGCTTAATTAGTTTCTATTCAGCCATCCATTAATTTACTATTAACTCAGTCCAAAGCAGCTTCTTCGTGGTTTGATTTCTAAATTAAGTCGCAATTTATCGAAGCAATTACTCTCAAAATCTATTTCCACAAAACAAACTGGTTTCTCTCTTCTCCGTGAATTGGTGACCGTTCTAAACGGTGGATTAGAGAATCATATACAATCTTTTATTCCGGCAATAGAAAACTCATTATCAGTTAATTCTGATTCTGGTCATCATCATTCTGGCACTAATTCTAACTTAAAAATTGAAACTCTTACCTTTTTACGTCAATTCTTTAAAGTCCATCAGCCACACGTTTTTCATAAGCACCTCTCTCGTCTATGTCCACCTATTATCAATTCTGTGAACGATAAATTTTATAAAATCACATCCGAAGCTTTCTTAGTATGCATCGAGTTGATCAAAGTTATACGCCCAATCGAATATTCCGCTGCCACAAAGACTTATAATTATCAGCCTTTGGATCCAATACTCCAGAAATATATTTTAGAAATTTATAGTGTTACAATATCACGTCTTAAGACTTTGGATGTGGATCAAGAAGTCAAAGAGCGTTCGATTCTATGTCTTGGAGTTTTGTTGTCACAGACAGGAGATAGTTTGAAGCCTCAACTCCCTCAATGCATGCCATTACTATTGGAGCGTCTAAGAAATGAGGTGACGCGTCTCACCACCGTTAAGACTTTTACTAGTATAGCTGATAGTCCTGTCTGTGTAGATCCTCAGGTGACAAAAACTGTATTAAAAGCGGTAGATGAAGTGGCGCTTTTATTAAGAAAAAGTCAAAGGCAATTAAAAGTTGCTAGTTTGATTTGTCTAGAAGTGTTTATTAGAAGGTATTTTACATAACTGATTATTTTACTATTAAATACATTTATAATACTAATAAGTTTCCTTTGTTTTTAGATATGGAAGTCAATTCAATCAGCAAACATACATCAGATTATATTCAGAATTGACACCTCATATTTCAGATCAAGACTTACACCTTTTACCATTAGCATTGAACAATGTCGTTGCTATTCTTATTGCTAATCCAGACAACATAATAGCTGTCAACAGAGATGTCGTCCCCACTGTCTTTGATCTTGTCCAATCATCAATAGTACAAGGCGCGGCTTTGGACAGTCTAATTTCGTTATTTGTTACTTTAATCAAAACAAAAGAATCTGAATTCATTAAATTATTAAGCGGATTGATGAAACCCGCTATAGCTTTAGAGCCAAATTTCTTGACTTTATCAAAACAGGTTTTTTTTTGCAAATTATATCGCTTATTTATGCATTTGAAATCATTCTATAACTTTTTTCTTCCGCTTTAATTAGTCATATTCTACAATAGCACAATGTATTGCGGCACTTTGTCTGAGTTCTCCAAGGAATCTAGGTCTAACTGCTGCCGAGTTTACTCGAAAAATCGAGGTATGTCATTATTTGTTGTTATAACACAGTTAATTGTAAGCTAAATTTTAATGACTTCTTATTATAAAAAGGATCAATCCAATGATTCAATTAAATATTTATCCTTGTTAACATTGGGTGAAATTGGTCGTAAAGTGTAAGATTTATTATAATAATAACTGTATTTTTGCGATGTCATTGACTTTCATTTATTAATTACGTTTGAATTATCAGCGATTTAGCTAATCAAGGAGATAAACTACATAAAACTATATTGTCGCTATTTTCTGCTCCTTCTGAAGAAGTAAAATCAGCAGCAGCATTCGCACTTGGTAATGTCGCGGTTGGAAATGTTAACAAATATTTGCCGATAGTGATCCAAGAAATAATCCGTTCCGATCCAAAGAAACGATATTTATTATTACATGCCCTTAAAGAGGTAATCCTTGATTGTATAATTTCTCATTTTTTTATAAGTGCTTTCTTTTATTTTATATCTATTTTGAGAATTTTGTTAATTTATTAAATAGATCATTACACGATATTCTAACGATGCGGGTGTCAAAACTTTGGGACCATTTGCTGACGAAACTTGGTATGTAACTTAAAAGAACCTATACAAATACGTGTTTATCTTTTCTTTTGGTTTATTAAAACATTGCTCATTTACGTGAATAGGAATATATTATTCGACAGCGGTGAAGTTGTAGAAGAGGGTACACGTAACGTTGTTGCTGAATGTGTCGGAAAATTGACATTAGCGAACCCTCATAAATTCTTGCCAGAACTTCAGGCAAGTTAAATTATTTACAAAGGTCCCGATGAGGATGAGTAACTTACGACATGAATTAAATGATATTCTTCGAATAGAAACGACTTCGTCACTCATCCGCTCAAACTCGTGGCACAGTCGTGACTGCAATCAAATACACTTTTACAAATCAAGGTCAGCAATACGACGAATTACTGCGGCCGCTAATAGTAGATTTCTTATCATTGATCAAGGATAATGACTTGGTACGTATTTGAATTTATATATTATAGAGTTTCTTGTTTCTATTTGAAATTAATCTCATGTTTTTTGTTATCATCTAGAATGTACGCAGACTCTCATTGTCGACTCTGAATTCTGCTGCTCATAGTAAACCATATTTAATTCGTGACGTCTTGGATCAATTGCTCCCACTGTTATACGAGGAAACTGTTATAAAAGTAAATATTTTTACTATTTTTATTTCAAGATTGATGAAACTTTCGGTATTTTAATATTATGAAATCCATAGGAACATCTTATTCACATGGTAGAAATGGGTCCATTTAAACATAAAGTTGATGATGGATTGGATCTTCGAAAAGTAAGACACTGTACAAATATTTTGCAATTTTAAATGATATCTTACCCGCAAATTCTTTTATTCAGTCTGCTTTTGAATGCATGTCCACTTTACTCGATACATGTCGTGATAAACTGGATATTTTCCGTTTCTTGGATCGAGTCCTTGCTGGATTGACTGATGTTCATGACATAGCGATGCTTTCACATACAATGCTGATTCGACTGACAGAAGTTGCTCCAACTGCTGTAATGCAAAGTAAGCCATAATATATATTTTTGTTTTTCTAATTGATAATTTATTTAGATTTTGAATCACAATAACTCTTAATTCTCGTGTAGAAATGGATGAAGCTGTGGAACCACTCAAAGCTACTCTAGCGTATAAACTTAAAGAAAATGCGATTAAATCCGAAATTGAAAAACAACAAGAGTTGGTTCGATCCGCTTTACGAGTAACAGCTATATGGGCTCCTTTATCTGAACAAGGTTTGTTTCTCTGTATAATTTTGACATAAATTCCTCTAATATAATTATTCCTTCTTTTGTATAATAAATAGGATCTACACCAAAATTTGATTCATGGCTCCGTGAAATCAAATCTGGCACGCATGCTGACACTTACCGAGCCGTCGAAGCTGAAGTGGAAAATAAAGATTATTCATATGGTCATGGTGGTGATGCTTCAATGGACCTATCATAGATTATTATAGCTATATTTTTTAAATTGATTTTACCAGATTTAATGTCATGAGATTATTCTTCATTTTAGAGGAAACTATATTTGAAATGTATTATAAGCTAATGTTATTTAACAACAGCAGGAAATAATAAACATGCTAAATAGAACAATCAAGATCAAGAGTAGCCAAGTTTAATTTTACTTTCGAACTTGCATCTTGATTTGCATATATCCAGATCGATTCTTCTGACCAAACTAGTCTGGAGCTGGTGATCACTTGATTTCTGTGTTACTGATCGGAGTAGCAGATCTCTCGCGATATTGACGCGTAAATTTATTCACAAGCATACATTCATGTTTTTTTTAGGCGAACCGAGTTCACTGAAATTATGAATTAGCTTGGACACTTTTTTCCCTGCGCTTCTGCCTAGCCTCTATCTCCTTCTGCAGGTTCAACGATGTGTCAAACCTTAGCCGAATTGCAAGAGGATCATCTTCCGGCCTAGTGAGATCAAATACAATAAATACACCTTTCGAAGGTAGCTGTTAATGACCATCGATGCATTTTTTACATCCTCGGTATAGCGCCTAATAATTTTGGAGACGTCTTCATATGAGCTACCGGAGTTAAAAATTACTAAATGAGAGGCATTTTCACGCATGAATGTGTTGATTTTATGATATTTTTGCGCTACAAATATGCATGAAATATTCCGATGGCGTCCATTCCCAAAAAAATTGGCTAATTCGATTCTGTATATGATCTGGAGCGAGACACAAATCCTCAAAAATAATTGCTGTACTTCTCTCAGGCGAAAATGCTCTTGTACTGGGAATTTTTTCAGGTGGGATATAGCTGAAAGTGATATTTTCATAGTAAGGCGCTTTCGGATCTTTTGAAATTATACCATACATATATCTTACAAATGCCCACTTAGACTCGTTAGGATGGTAACCACAGACTATCAAATCATCACATGCAATATATCTAGACCCGCTTTTTTTACCTTTATATATACATTCAGCTTTATTACCAAGAAAAAGATTTGCCAAAATATTAGTTTTACCTGATCCACTTTTCCCGGTGACTAGCATTGAAAAAGGCCATGATTCGTGACTTGTGGCCTCATCCATATCCATAAGGTAAAGTTTCATAGGTGGTAGTTCTTTCTTTCGGTTTTTCTGTGTATCGGATTGGGAATCCATAACTCTGATTTCTATTAAAAGGTGTTATATATTTCGGAAAAATTTTCTCTTCATTAAAGGATGGAATAAAAGAATATAGATGGGAGAAGATAGACCACAGGAAGCATATGATTAATAATAGTATTATAAGAAAGATCGCAAACTGAAAAAGAAGAAATCCAATTTCTTATCAGCTAAAGCTTTGCCGGTTTCTGGTATTGAAATAGGTGCTACCGAGACGTTCGCATTATGAACCCAGGTAGTTTCAATGCTAGTATTGCCGTTATCTTTCTCCTGTTCACTAACACCTGGGTTCTCTTTAGAGTCCACCCCTCCAACCACTTCAAACTCGCTAGATGTTTTTGGAGTCTGCTCGGCTAAATAAGCATTAGCTGATCCCTTTAGATCCGCTTCTTGAAAGAGAGAATTTCTTTCTGACAATGCATTTTGCAATACCTCTAGTAAATCTTCCTTAGCAATTTTTTTTCGATTTCCTTCACTTTATTTTCGAGTCCAAGCTCATAGACAAGGCCCTTTAAATTATCATCAATCCAATCAGGTAACTTTGGATCTTTCTGCTTGCCTGGCGCCTCTGTTACCTCTTCCACTACATTCGAATCAAAGAAAGATATATGTGGTAGAAAACCCTCCCGTTCTAGTTCCAGATTTTCCAACTTACCTTCCAATTCACCTATTTTAGCTTCAAGAGAAAGAATCTTGACCTTGTCAACGGACGAAGCTTTCTGGGCCAAAGTTGCCTCTCTCTTCAGTGTTTAATAGAAGATTTGAGTGATTGGATTTCGGTAAAATATTTGGCTTTGAGCTCAGTATTAGCTGTATTCAGCTGACTAAACTTATTGTTAATGCCAGAACTGATACGATTAAAATCCTTTACTCGCTCTAAATATATGTCCTGCAGGTCTTTATATTCATTAGCAATATCAGAAGCAGTTTTGATGCTACCACGCAATGCTTTCCCAAGTTCTGATTCACGGATGCTACCAAGTCGATGACCTCTATTTTCAATATCTCTTAATGTGTGCACATTGGACATAATTACAGGCCGGCTATGAAGTAGAGAAAAAAAAGATATTAAATATAAGCAATATCGATAGAAAAACTATGCGTAGATATCTAAGATCCGATGCAACCCATCTTTCACCTGAGGCATATTGTGATATTATAAATTCTAAAGGTGGAAAGAATATATCATCAGTTTTAGCTAAAAGATATAAAATATCAAAAAGTCGGGTATATCAAATCTGGCGAGGGCAAGAACATCCTCCCGATCCTTCATTAAAGCAAAATATTGATTGGAATAAAGAAATAGAAAGCATATATAATTTATATGCCGAACTTCCTAGCAAATGACTGGACAAAATTTTCACCTAAGCAATTGTAACCATTTTTCTAAGTGAAATTTATTTTTTAGAGAACAGATAGTCCCAATATTGCACATAGCACCGATACTTCGCATAGTTCTATTACTTTCGCATATTATATGCACATTTTTTTACTAATACCACAGATAGTCTCTATACTATGTGTAGCACTAATCCTTCTGATACTCCGTATAGTACTCATAGTCCACATACTATTAATAATTTTATACGCATTTTTTATTAATAGTATAAAAATCTGATTGACTACTAATATGATCCCCTCTCCACCTAGAAGATATATGCGCTCCGATGCTACAAAATTATCTTCTGCAGATTACGAAGACATCATGCAATACCGAGATATGAAGTCCAAGCCTCTGGATCAACTAAGAAAAAAATTCCATATATCAACTTCTCGTTCATATCAGATTTGGAAAGGGCAGGAGGTAGGAAGGGTCGAATGGAACTATTCAGCAGTCCCAATTTCTTATTCAAGAACAAATGATATAGATAAACAGAATGGGACTGATTTAGGGGGTCATGAAGTGGCCGTAAATAAATACGATTTTGCCTTTACAGCACTGGAGAACAAGATATGTAACGCTGAAATTAATAAATCTACTGATCCAGTTTCGAAAGGAGGTGCAGGCAGTAAGGCAAAAAGATCGGAGGAAAGAAACGATCCCAAGGGGACCAACCCAAGTCTGTTAACATTTCTGAACTAACTATTACGCAGAATCAACTAATACCTGGAACAAAAAAAGAAATTATTTCATCTACCGAATCTTCCGAAGATGTCTTGGATTTGTATAAGAGAACTAGTCCTGAAATAGAGCATCTGGTCGTGCTCTTAAATAATTAATTATTCAACCTTATTTGGTCCTAGAGGAATCTTTTCATATCGGTCAAGCAAATCATTATAATATCCTATAATTTCCAAATTCGATTAAATGCTGGAAAATAATGCTTTTTCGAGCTCTTTTACATGAATTGCCATATCCCTATATTTCATGCAGTTTGCGCACTTTTTTTTAAGTCCTCCTCACTAGTCGGGCTAGAGGAATCGGTGGATACTTGGAGCGAGCCATGCGGTCCCTCTTTTGGCGGATCCTTAGCTATCGGGGCCTTGCTATATGTTGGAATAACATAGGTCTTCCCATGTAACTTTATGCGGAACTGGTTTTTATTTGGCTCAGGGATACCTTGAACCTTTCGAATATTTGACATACCTAAAAATAGCATTGGTTCTGTTTTACCAATATCGATACGAACAAAATTTCCAATGACCGTGACTGTCTTATCTTCTTTATCCTTCAAGGTAACTGGCACGTCTGTATACCATCCTAAAGAATCGGTGATATGCTTGGAATTGCCCTTTATAGCAAAATTAGATGGTTTATCAGCCTTCCATCCAAGCGCCTTGATTGCTGGGTCATTTATACCACCGAACTCACTGCCAGGATCTAAAAAAGATTCTCTAACAGTTAAGTCATTTATATTAGCATTCAGATATTGTAAAGATGATAACCACTCATCTGATTCTTTCGATTCCTCCTCCTGAGTCTTTCGAGACAAGCACATTTTTCGTATCGGCGGTGAGAGCTTAGACATTAGCTCATCATGTTTCAGGCTGGCTGGATTTCGAGGTCAACTTTTCATTTACTGGTACCTGTTTTTTTTTACCGGTGGATCATATCCAGTCCACGTATTATTTTCTTCATCATAGCCGTCTCCTTCATTATCAGAACCTGGAGACGTGTTTTGGAAATTTATAAGCGTGAGGCTTAAAATAACCCCGATTAAAATTAGATCGTGCTATCTGTCTATTGGGACAACTGCCTTTAGTATGACCAGTTTCTCCACAAATATCACATTTACGTATATTTAGTTTCTGAAATTGGTTTGTTAATTGATTTAGTGCATCGCGAGTTTCATCAAGTCCTTCTTCGATCCTATCAAATCTAGCAGTTATTGTTTCGTTGTGGACGAGGTCTTTGAAAATGTTTTACAGGACACTGCACTCCTTTTTGGTCGTACGGAAAGCAGTTTTGTGTACTGTTCAATGGTCAAAAATTTCGCAAACCACCATCACCTCTGATGTCCATAACATCATCATTGGTGCAACTATACATTGAGAAGATATTAGCAAAACTTCACATAGCTATGGTACACCTCCTTTAAAATAAATACTGTACTTACGAGTACACATTATTTTTTTCACGTTCTTTGTATTCTTCGAAGAGTGAAATAAATTCTTTGAAATACTATTGAGTATTTGTCACATGCACTAACAAAGCAATGTCATACCTTAACCTCATCTAAGCCCGTTAAATTCTCAGAAGCCCTAAGGATGCTTTCATGGGTTTCACTGGCTGAGGATTGAGCGAAGGAAGTGTTTCCGGTGATTTGATGAGAAGGTGTTTGAGTTCCTTTTGCACAATAAACAGGAATAGCCAAAAGTTATTGATTAAATGTCTGAATAAGCACCAAAAAATCCTTCTTACCATCTTTCGTATCATTTCTACCTAACAGGCTGGAATTGGAGAATTCTTCAATCTTATAATTAACATGGTCTCCGTCATCATCGGATGATTTATCATTGGGGGAGAATTGGTCTTGGGTAAAGACAGTTGACGATTTTTCATCTGATAACAATAAATGATTATTTTCGGTATTATCATTGTTATCACTTTCCTGTTCGTATTGCAAAGAGTAATCAGTTAGTGGCCAAACTTGAATAATAACCCAGCAACAATAAAACCTCACCTTATACATTCTGGTACGCTTTACTGTCCTTTCTTTTTCATCAAGAAACTTCTTCGAGATCTTGGTAGTTGTTGACCTAGCATATTGTTGAATTTGTCCCGTTGTTACCGTAGCAATGGTTACGTGTTGGTCCGCCTGTGTATTGTAAATGGGATCAAGCGTGAATGTTTTGTCCTAGCATATTAAGTAATGAGGAGAATGAGTGAAGTACCTGCAACTTCCGAACCTTCACATTTGCCTTGTTCTCTTGCATATTGGTTTTATCCTCAATCAATACATTCTTCACCGCAATATTTTGTCTTTCGTTTTGAAGTTTCCAAAAACGATTATTACCGTTGACTGTTTACTTTTCTAACAGTGATAATAGGACAGAAGTTCTAAGTAATTTGCCTAATAGATTTTGTTTGATAACCATCCCACCCATGCAAGCAAGGATAGGAGACATCATGAACAAGCAAGCACACAGATTGTACATTAATCTTTCGCGAGCACCATGGATCCCTAAGTCTATTGAGTATAGCTCACCAACAGACACGCAGTCGTTCCCACTACAAGAGCGCAGGTTGCTGGGTAGTTGATGTACTCATGTTCCTGAGTCAGAAATAATACACTTTACTTGCCTTAAAAGCATTTTTCCACCTTATCACTTCCTGTCCAGGTTCAGATACTTCGGCATAAAATTTGCCAATTGTATCTAGTTCTTGCTTGTACCGATGGTACTCAGTTTGCTTATCTTCTAAGTCGCCAGCCAAAAGTCGAAAATCTAAAAATTTCTTGAGCGAAGGCTCTTCCGTGTCTTCCCAAAAGACTAAGTAGTCAAAAATGATAGGTTACGTCGATAAAGCATCATAAAGACATCAGTACAATTTATCTTACCACGGTATTTCACAGCGTCAAGGCATTTGGGTGACAGTTGCATTTTTTTACGAAATGAAGCTATAGGAGTTGACTATTAGTTTTACTCTTATATTGAAGTTATAGTGTGCGTATCTCCTCAAAACCTTTATCAACTCGACAAAATTCATTGATCAGAATTTTTGTAAAAAAGCTTCGATCTTGAAAAACCAACTATGCAACAAAAAGAATTAACTGTCATACAACAGTTACTAAATAATCTTTTAGAAGCTTACAAAGATATTTTTACACAAGAACTCAGTAAACTTGAATGTACTCAAGGTGTTCAACATGTAATCAACACTGATGGAGCTATTCCAATTAAACAGTGACCATATAGAGCAACAATTCCAGATCAAGAATTCATTGCTAAAGAAATACAAAAAATGCTTTAAGCTAATTATAGAAAGTTGAATTCAGTCATTCAAAAAGATGCATATTCACTTTCAAGAATTAATAAAATGCTAGATAGTCTTGGAAATTCAAAATGGTTTTCATTCTTGAATTTATCTTCTGGATATTGGCAAATACCAGTAGAAGAAAATAACAAATCAAAAACAGCTTTTATCTAAAAAAAAAGCTTGTTTGAATTCAATTCAATATTCTTTGGAGTATGTAATGATCCTGCAACTTTTCAACAAGTTATAGACACTATTTTGATCAAATACAAATATTAATTCATATTAATCTATTTGGATGACATTAATATTCATTTTCAAATATTTGAAGAGTATTTGAAACATTTACAAAAAGTTTTTGAAAAGCTTTGTAAAGCTGAACTTAAACTTAATCCAGAAAAATGCAATCTATTTCAAAATGAATTATCATCATCAGGAAATTTCTATACCCATTGACAATCGATTTATAACCATGCTCATTGATAATCGATTATCAACACCCCCATCATTCATCATCGATAGGAATTATAATCGATGACAATCGATTGCGTTCAAAAATCATCGAAGAACATCGTTAGCAATCGATTGCAACCGCTAGCGATAGAAAACGATGGTGTGTTGATGATCGATT